AGGTAGGCATTTAGAAGTGCTTGTTTGAGCTTCTGGAATGCACTCTGGAAACTAGGTTCCCACCTTAAAATATGGCTGTCTTTTGGGTTTTTTATAAGCTAATAGAGTGGTCATGCAATCTCACTATATCCTGTTATCTGAAGGCCACAGAAGCCTGTAATTTCTAGGAATGTCCTTAGCTGTTTTAGAGTGTTGGGCTGTGGAGAGGAAAGAATTGTTTTAATTCTTTCTTTCCCCAGTGTTTGGGTTCCCTGAGATATAATAAGGCCTAAATATCTTACCTCAAGGCTGCAAAGTTGTGCCTCAGATCTAGAAACATTATAACCCCTGTCTGTTTAGAAAATTCAGCAGAGCCGAAGTCTTGGCTAGAAAGCTCTTCTGAGGAGACACCTAACATTATACTACCTACATATTATAAGACTGACTTTGGAAAAACACTATAGTATTTTCTTTTATCAAATCAGGATCTAGGGATGTCCTCATCTTTTTCCTGATAAATAGTTGACAAGTTAAAATAATTGAAGGGCTTAGTTCTCATGTTTCTTAAATCTTTCAGAATATATGCCTGAAAATGGCTTCTATTTTAATCTGCCTGATTAGCAGGCCAGTAGGGGCTTGTATAGAAACTGCTTGTGTTCCAGTAGGAACCAGTTGTTCCCTTGGCTTTCTGTCTTTTGAGCTTCCAAAATTAAGATCATATTTGTCTCTATACATAGTAGCAGGTTGTAAAACTACTTGTCTCTCAATGTTTGATTTAAGAGCAACATTACATGTTTCTACTCTAGTCCATACATCTGAGTAAGTCTTCAAAGACCTCAAGGTACATATCAGAATCATCTGAAAACTTTTAGATCTCATTTGACCTATCGTAGATCACTGAAAGAGAAAGACACATGAACATAGGTAGTCCCATATTTGCCATTTACTTCCTAGAAGGGATATTGTCTTTGAGGGGTTTGAACAAAATTAGCTAGGAGTGAATATAGTTCTGTAGAAGTTTTAATTACAGCTGGCTTGGGAATTTCACCCTTAGATTTTAAAGGATAAGGGGGAGGGATCTTAGGCTCTAAAGGGCAATTGGGAAAAACTTCAAGTTTGGTGGTAGGTGGAGCTTTCACTGGGATTGCCTCAGAAACTTTGTCCTCAGGATCCAAAAGGTGAGGGTGGAAAGCCTCAGGTTTAATGATAAGGACCAGAAGAGCCTAGTGTTCCTGGTGCTTATTTTTACACTTTGAACACAAATCAAGATTATCTCTTAATGCAAAAAAGATCTGGACATAAGGCAATTCTGACCATCTTCCCTCTTTTTTTACAGTATAATTCTAGTTGTGAAATGACATCATAATTAATACTTCCTTTTGCATTCCATCCTGGCTCTAGAGGATAGGCAGGCCATGCATGGGTGCAGAAGAATGTTAGGCTGTTCTTCCTCAGTATGTGAGAATCGAACTTCTGCCAGTGTTTAAGAATATATTCCAAAGGAGTAAGAGACTTTGACTTGACATTCCCACATTCTGGAAAAAACAAACAGAAACAAGGTGCCCCTATGATTCTGATTGATTCCTTATGCTCCTAGAGCATCCTCTAGGATCATAGCTCCATGGCAAGTGGCTGCCATCAGGAGAGAGCCCAGAAGGTAAATTGGACAGGAGTAGGCACCCTTTACCAGTGTGCAATCTTACCTTCCCCAGGGAACTTGTATTTTTACTCCCGTATAAATTTCAAAAGCCCAAGATACAATTGATTTTAGTTGTAAAATCATGTCTTTTTGAAGGAAACATTGTTAGCCAAACCAATAATCAAAAGTATCTAAGTCACTGTTTTCTAAATCTTTGAGAGAGAATGAGGCAGATAGATTAAAGGGCTGTGCCTTTTTCCAGCAAAAGAGATCACTTTTAGAGACAGAGGCAGACCAGAGCCTCAGGGGATCTTCACCGCAGAAGAAAACCGGGGAGACCTCTGTGCTATCTGATCACCTAGGTAACCTCCAGCAGCAAGACAAAGACTACACATTGTTCAGAGTTCACAAGGCACATTCATCAGGTCTCCACAAGCACACAGAAGAAGAGAAAAGCTGTTTGAGATCCCTTTTGTTCCTAGTTAGCAAGGCACAAGTGCAAACCATTTCTCTGTCAGCTGTTCCATGTAAGGCCTCCTACAGAGGTGCGGCCTAGTAGTAAAGCAGCCAAAGGGTTCTAAAGTTGATTCCCAAGAGCTTCAGAGTTTCTGGCCTAATAAAGATTCGTCAAACAATCTCTACCGAGTTACAGTTTTCTATTTGTGTCTGTCCTACTAGCAGAGAGAGAACAGTCCCGTCCTGTAGCTCAGCTCTTAATGGAGGCTTGAGAAAGGGCCCTACCAGTATCGCTTCAGGTCACTCTGAGACAGAGGATATCTGATGATCACTGGAAGGTTACCTTCACCTCCCTGAGGAGTCCAGCTAGGGGACAACAGTCAGGCGGAGATTTTCCTACTGATTACCCATGTGGGCTGTCCGGAGTCAGTTTCCACTGGGGGACCCTCAAGCACCTGCCATGGAGTAGCCCGGGCCATGACCTCTGAGTTGTCACTCCAGTTTTCACTAGTCCCACACAATCAGAGAGCTGTCTCCGGAAAGGAATCTAGCTGCCTGTTTTGCTAGCATTTGGTCTACAATTTATTAGCCAAAGTGTTTTCTCATACATAAATGATAAGAGCCAGACCTATGGAGAGAGAGAGAGAGAGAGAGAGAGAGAGATTCTCCCTTAATCTAAATGTGTTTTGGTCCCTTAAGTGTTGTGCTTATGGAAATAGCTCCTGGTTTCACCCAGAAGTCAGTTCTTTCCACGGGGTCTCAGGTGCAGTCCCCCAAGGAAGACTGTAGCCCAGAGCACTAAGCGGGGACATCGCTTTCATGTGCTCTCCTGGACGGACAAAACCTCGGTGTCTCATCTAACCCAGAGACGGACAGTGTTTCCTGATCTAAAATGACTTCCCTATCTTCGGCGTTGGCAAGAACGCTCATTTTCTAAGGAATTAATGTAAAGGTTCTTAGGAGAAAGACACTGAGTACTTCAGAGATCCTTCCTGACTTTACATGTCTCTATAAAGGAGAGTAAAAGACTGGCAGGAGAGACTGGAAATGAGACCAGGAAAGGGGGTCTTTTCTTCTCATGCTCTCAGTGAGTTATTAAGACAACTTGCCCCGGAGTTGTCACTCTCAGCCTGGAAAGGCCAGACTGGGGAATCTCAAGAGCTGAGACTGCCTCCCCACCAGTGGAAGATAAGACCAGAAAGGAAACCGAGGCAGAGATGGCTCAAGATTTTCTCTAGAGTACAGAGAAGGATTGGGCCAGGCTGCTCAGTGAAACCTGTCCCCCGAGTCTTAAGAGGGGCTGCCAGCTAGTGCCTTATTAATTGACAGCTGGGGTCCTGCATTTTATCAATAGGGGTATATATATTTTTCAACTATAAACTAGATTTTACAGAGAAGACTTGTTTTTACTACATTTTCTAATTTACTCGTAATTATTGGTAAAGGCCGTTAGATGACGACCTAACATGACTTTTCCTCAGCTTTGTCTAACAAGTTAATCAAGCAATCGATACAGAACAGAAACATAAAACCTTGTCTACAAAAGTAAAATATCCTTTTAAAGAAACATCAACATTTTAACAAAATGACAAGGTATAAGAATTCAAAGTACAAAGCATTTACAAGAGACCCAAGCAGTGACAAACAAGAACAACAATTTTGGTTACTTAATATAATTTAGCAATAAAAGTAAATTCTTACCTCCTATTAATTATTGTCTTGGTGGGACCTCCAATAATGTCACGGGAAATATGAAGTGTTATATCTCCCAACCTGTTAACTATATGATATGCCAAGTTCTTGTGCTCTAGAAATTGAAGAATGAGTCCTAGGAACGACGAGGGTTAAAAGTAGGAAGATATTTATTGATAGGAAAGCTCCCAAGGGCCAGGAGAGGTCCCGAGTGGGTAGCCCATGACAGGGTTTTTGAGAAATAACAGTGCCACATTAAAAAAGCCTTGCTCCGTTGATAGCTTGATCTGATTATTCTGTCGCTCATGTAAGAGCCAGTGTTGCAAGTGATGACAGATACTTGCTGTCACGCTTTGTACCTCGTAGTTTGTCGCTATTTTTATGGTTTTTTAAATCAGGCCCTAGATGAAGTTTGCAAAAGTAAACATTAGTGTTTTGATGGTTTTAGTTCATTTCTGTAAAATTGGATATTTTCATTAATAATTAAAATCATTAATACCAGTAGTATTTTCACATTTGTAAACCTTTGGCACAGCTGATACTTCTTTTCCCTCCCACACCGGCTCCTAGCAGAGATGGCATTCTGATGTCCACAGAAGGGGACTGAATCTAAGCCGGGCGGAGAGGGCGCTGGAGAGCTCAGCTGCCTCTTTCTCAGAAGAAATGAAGCTGCTTTTGACAGTGGTCCAGATGTTTACTCTTTGTGAGGTTTGGGAGGTGCCAGGGGACAGAGGTGTGGAGGGAGCTGTGTCAGCAGTGATTAAATTGCACACTTGAATGCCTCATCTTCTCCTCTCTGCATTTCCAGAGTCTGCTAGAAGTGGGCATAATGACAGTGCCGGGCCGTGGGGACACAGGCCTGGTGCCTAGGAAGCCACAGATAAGTGGGCTTTTAAAAGAGTTTAGCTCGTGCATTTGGGATGTGCTATATTTGATGCTTAATGGCTAGTGTAGTTAACACTTAGGGAGCTTCTTGATGACAGTGTGCAGCCAGGCTGGGCCATTCTTGACAGAAGACTATTGGCCCTGACGGTTGGAAAAGGCTTCCAAATCTTGTCGCCTCCTCCCAGCTTGGTACTTTTGTAGACATACACCATACAAGTGGCTTTGAGCAGGCAGCCGACAGTGTAGACTGTGCCAGACTCCAGCTGGATCACCTGCGGTGTGAAAACAGCATGCCTTTGAGGCCTGAGAGCCAGTCCTCTGACTCGGGTGTCCCTCTTTCTCTTCACAGTGGTGGCAGTGCTGACCTCGGCGGTACCGGGGACCCGCTCCGGGTCCTGGAGGGCATGATCGCAGCTGTGCACGCCAGTGTGGATTCGGGGTAAGGCAGGCACGGGTGCCTCTCTCGGGACTGGGTCTCCAGGCTTCTGGGCTAAGGAAGGGCTGAGGGTCTTCTGCGGGGTAAGGGGCTGCGAGTCTGGAGCCCACATCCCCACCATGCTGGGCCTGCATCTCAAGCAGCACCCGTGGTCCAGACAGCACTGTGTCCTCTTACATCCTTCAGCCAAGGGAGCCCCAGAGAGGAAACTGCTTTGAGCTTTTAGAAAAGATTCTCCATCTACAAGTTAAGTGCATTAGTTTAGAAGTTTCTAGAGTTTGTGTATTATGAATGATTTTTTTTTTAAAAAAAAGTCTTTATAAAAGCTGGCCGTGATGGCACACACCCGTAAACCCAGCACTCAAGAGGCTGAGGCAGGAGGATAGAAAGTTCAAGGCCAGCCTGAGCTGCGTAGCTCTATCTCAGAACACCAAAAAAATGAAAAACAATAAAGCCTTTGTACAGACTCAGTCAACCTTGTTTGCGGGCTCAGAGGCTCCTGAGGTTAGAAAGGTGTCTGTCTCTGATGCCACTTTAGAAATAATCCTTCAGTCGGGCACAAGGGCATGGAGAAGAGTAGCAGTGGACAGCAACTAGCAGTTTCCGGTTCCTCTGAGTTTCCGGCCTTCTCCATGTCACACCCATGGCAACCCTGTAAGCTCCGCCCAGTTTCCTTTTTCTGTAGGGGAGACCTGATTGGGAAAACGCCCCGTGGTTTCAGGGAGAAATGCGTTACTTCTGCATGTGTCTGCGTGACCCTGTGGTCACTGTGCGGGAGCAGGTGTGTTTCTGTGTGGTTTCCTGAAACCTCTGGGCACTTGCATATCCCACCTCGCCTACCGGGGCGGTCCTGCTTCCCACTTCTCTGTGTGGACCCAGTGCCCATGGTGACTGCTGAGGCCACAGTGCCATTGCTGTTTCAGAGGACAGAGCTGAGAGGGGCGCTGCCCACCCAGCGTCCCGCCCTGGGAGCCGAGCCCGGATCCTGCCCAGCCTCAGTCCCTCGGCCTCTGTGGTATTTGCCCTGCGGCTCTAGGTGTCAGGGTTGAGGGGCAGCAGTCGGATGAGACTGCTCTGGTGAACAGGGAGGAGTACTGCAGCCAGGACCCTGTTTCCTCTGCTCTTGCACTGTAGTCACCCAAACCCCTTTGAGTCTGCGTCTTCAGTAGGAAGCTACAGCCGAGGCTAATTTGGACCCTTCCCCTAAAGAAAAGTTGGATTGTTCTGTGTGCTTTCTGGGCACCGTGGTCTGGGTGAAGTCAGAACAGATCACCTATGGATAGGAAATGCCCTTCAGCCCCAAGAGCTCCAGGCTTACCGGGGAGATGAGCTTGCCCGTAGCCATGGTAACAGCACTGGAGGAGGAAGTGCTGCACAGGAAGCCTTGCTAAGTCAGGCAGGTACACAGGGGGTGGGCACAGACCTGTTGCTGACAGACACTGTAGACAGAGGTGGTGGGTGGTGGCACCCAAGCCGAGAGGCTGCAGGAGCAGCAGGTGGTAGAGGTGGGGACAGTGTGGCCTGGGACACCCTCAGCTCCTCCTGGAGGCTGCCTCAGCTGCTGCCCTCCCAGGCCCACTGAACCAGTCAGCTCTGGAGCAGGGGCCGGCCAGGCAGCTTCCTCGGAGATGGAAGATCTGTTAGGCCGGGCGCTAGCAGTGCCCAGTGGGTACCTCGGCCCTGTCCACTGGGACCTCTGGAGTGTGCACGGTGAGTTTCCAGCCATGCATCCTTGGGTGTTTGTGGTTTTGCTGCCATGGCTGCCTCTGTGTCCTGAATTGTCTCAAAACGTCTCCCTTTCCCGGTCATTGTGACTTTGGGAAGATGACTAAGGTGGACGACGACACAGCATCATGTTTTTTCGAGCCCGCTTTTCCAGTGGATGGTGCTTAGCAGAAGCATTCATTGTATTTTTATCACACCAGCTAAAGACCCTCAGGAAAGAGGACTCCAGAGCTGCTGCAGGAAGTGGCGAGGACGATGGGATGAGTGTGTTGGAAGCAGGGGAGATTAAAAATTAATTTTTTACAAATGTAAACATTCATTGTATCCTCTGGTTACACCTTTCCCCAAAGACTCTTAACTTTTGTTAGAGTCTAACGTGTGGACTATCTTATTAGGCCTCGAGGAGGAACACTTTAGAGACAGAACAAAATCTTACTGTTTATCTCAGAGACAAAATCACAAAGGCGGCTTTGGAGAAAACTTCAGTGGGGGCCGGCTATGGCTCAGTGGCAGGATGTTTGCCTCCTGTGAGTGAGGTCCGGGCTTCCATCTCTAGCGCTGGAAAAAAGGAGAGAATGAATATCAATGGGCCTAACAAAGAAAAGAAGTGTCATGAGGTCGCAGCTTGTTCTAGTTGCACAGGTGGACTTGCTGCTGTTGCTGGGGTTCCCTGCTGGGCGGCCCGTAGGATCACCTGCAGTCAGCGCAGCACCTGTGCCGGGGCTCCGGCAGGGACCTCGAGTGACACGGGGGTCCGGCTCCTCCCAGCAGCACCCTGGTCACTCACTGCTCGCCCTCAGCCTCCCCCTTCTCCTCCTCAGTACACTGTGCCCCGGCCCTGCCACCTGCCACCCACTGCCCTCTAGGCGCCTGTAACCAGGGCCTGTGAGCGGTGTCGGCTGTCACACACATGCACACGCACCATCCCGGGTCAGCCCGGAAGCCTGGTGTGGCCGTGCACACTTGCCACCCAGGGCCTGGCTCTGCGGCTGTCTTCATGGTGGATGCCGTTCCCAGCATCTGCTCCTTTCACTTTTCGTCTTGGCATGGGTGCCAGTTGCCTTGTAACTGCAGCTTCTGCCTACCCCGCGCCCACAGAAGAAAACCTTCTGCCTTCATCTGTGCTAATTTTAAATCACAAAACTCAACACTGAGGCCAGCTGCCGCCAGTGGAGCCAGTCACTGTACTAACCTTCCCGCTGGAACCACATTCCTGCCTCTCCCACAGCTGGCACCGTGGGTGTGACTCACACCAGACCTCCTGTGACATCTGCAGTTAGGGTGGGGCAAGGTCACTCATCGTGCAGAGGCACCCACATATTAAATTTATTCCGTGGCTAGGGATGCTTTTCCCATTGCTGATGTGTCTCTAACATCTATTTTGATAAGATCTAGTTTTGTATTTTGGTTAGGAATTAGTTTGCTTAAGAAAAATATTGTTAAAATAATAATGTCCTAAAACAATGTATCTGCTAAGCCCAGAATTGATAAAATGCTAACAACACCTGTTTGAGAAATCACCAGGTGCCCAGCGGTGCTGGGGCCTGGAGAAGAAGTGCAGCTCAGCGGGAGCCCTGGGGACGGCAGGATCAAAACCGGCGCCTCCCTTCTGCAGATCACACACAAAGCCCAGGCAGGTGATGGGCTGTGCAGGGTCACTGTGAGGGGAACCAGGATCCTGGTGACGGCAGCTCTGACTGCGTAGGTCTCAGCCTTCCCTGGTCCCCTGTCTCTTGCCCTGCTCCTCCTGCCTTGGCTTTCTCCCCTGCTTCCAGCCCTCTGCATACACCTCTAAAATCTCACGGGGATGGCCCCGAGCCCGAGCCCCCACAGTGTGTGGAATCGAATCCCCTCCGCTGGCGCCAACAGCTAACTAGAAAGGATTCCTCTGCACCATACTCCAAAAAAGAAGAAAGATTTCCTTCAACACGATTGAGTGGTTCTGGTGGTCCTGTGTGTGTTTGAGTTTGTATTGAACACATTATCAGCTGGAGCACCTGAAGCCTTTCAGATCCGGAATGGTGTCAGAGTACTCTGACCTCCTGGAACTCTTGAGTATTCCCTAGGCATGTCTCATCACTTTTCAAAGCTCAGGAAGGAAGAAAGAGAGCGGAGAGAAGAGAAGAGGGAAGAAGGAGGGAGAGCAGCGTCCTTGAGCACACTGACCAGGATTCCTCCTGCCCTTCCTGCCCCCTCCCTGCAGCCATCTTCCTGGATCGCCCTGCAGGTTCTGCTGCCCTCCTGAAGGCCAGGATCGAAGGACAGCGTCCTGGAGCCACTGCATGCCCGCATGGTCCTCAGTCACCCAGGCCCTGTCCCTAGCTGTCCAATAATGTCCCTGCTGTGTCCCAGTGACATGTGATGTCGAATGGCTCACACCGCAGGACACATGCATCACAAGCTAGGCTTTGGCGCTGGAATGGTGTACATAGCAAAATCACTGCCTGTCTAGGACTTTTTCTCTCAGTATAACTTGATCTTGATTTTTAAAGTCACATTTTATGCTGTGTTACTGGCGTGTTATTCACAGTATGCATTCATGTGTTGGCAAATCTGACTGTTCCTCGCCCATCGCCCTGAGTTTTTCCTGGTTGCTGACCAATAGAAGACATTCTCCTAGGACAGCGATGGCGAACCTTTCAGAGCTTTCAGTGATAACAGACAGCCCGCTGTAGCACATGTGCCATAGGTTCACCATTGCTGGCCCAGGAAGTGTCCATCCCGCCCACGCCCCGCAGTGGTGAGGGAAGCGGTTATGTGTAGCAGGGACCTGCGTAGAATGTTAGGGTTCAGGTTAGGGTTACAGGGCTTTCCCTGCTGGCTCGGCCTCCCTGTCTTCCTCCCTCCTGGATCGCAGCAGCCCCTTCCTGCCGGGGCGCTATGGCTGTGGCATGGTCTGTAGATGGGGCTCCTGGGACAGATGCCCCTCCCCCTGGCTCCTGTCCATAGGGGGCCCTCATCCACACCGGTTTCTGCCACTCTTCCTATCGTCCAGGATTTAAAGAGGAGCTGGAAAAACCCTTATTCTGTGTGTGAGTGTGAAATGTTTCACTGCAAAACTTGCATATGTGTGTAAGATGATTTCGAAGCCTGGTTGGCACCTGACCTTGCTTGGCATGAAAGACTGGACAGAGTGACCATGTGTCCCTTCAGATGTTCAGACTCTGGGTTTACAAGGCATCCCAGAGCTCTGTGTTTCTTACGTTTGAATGCAGTCTTTCCTTCCTCCAGTCTCCAGTAAGAATGGTGATTGTATGTTGATTATCGAATAATGATTT